GAAGGTTCAAAACAGGCTACTTTGATTCAGACGAAGGTTCAAAACAGGCTACTTTGATTCAGACGATTTTCAGGTGAAGGGTCAAAGCAGGCTACTTTGATTCAGACGAAGGGTCAAAGCAGGCTACTTTGATTCAGACGAAGGGTCAAAGCAGGCTACTTTGATTCAGACGAAGGGTCAAAGCAGGCTACTTTGATTCAGACGAAGGGTCAAAGCAGGCTACTTTGATTCAGACGAAGGGTCAAAGCAGGCTACTTTGATTCAGACGAAGGGTCAAAGCAGGCTACTTTGATTCAGACGAAGGGTCAAAGCAGGCTACTTTGATTCAGACGAAGGGTCAAAGCAGGCTACTTTGATTCAGACGAAGGGTCAAAGCAGGCTACTTTGATTCAGGTGAAGGTTCAGAGGCCCATGTCGTCACCGCGTTACAAATCACAGAGAAACTTCAGAACCTGATTCTGAATACAGGATGAAAGGTGACCCGCATCTAATGAAGGCAGGAGTGTCGACACCCAGCCAGGGAGGCGGACTGGTTAGTCTAGTACCCCACATACACACCCTCGTGGCTCCCGTTTTCTGTGACCCGGGCATATCATGTGTATTTGCAACCCGTTCTCGCAAATTTAATAAGTCAATATTGACTTATTAAATATGTGCATAGGTGACATACTTAACATAATAGATACCCTTAAAAAGATTCATAGAAAACACCGACCTTACCTAACCTACTTAGTATGTTAAGATAAGCATCTTATTGCTTCGTAATTACAATTATTACCTAACCTATAATAGGTATAGGTTAAGTAATAATTGTAATTACGAAGCAATAAGATGCTTATCTTAAGATACTAACAAGGTTAGGTAAGGTCGGTGTTTTCTATGAATCTTTTTAAGGGTATCTATTATGTTTAGTATATCACCTATGCACGTAGTTAATAAGTCAATATTGACTTATTAAATTTGCGAGAACGGGTTGGTATTTAATAATCTTGTGAATTTCTAAACTTAAAATTTGTAAACTACGGGCTCGCCATAGCCCGTGCTGCTTGGAACTTATTGTTAAAGGTGAGCCAATCTTAAACAACAACAATCTTGTAGCTATTATTTTTGTTTTTAAATCTTAGTTTTATTATTATTACAGCAGGAAATAGCATTAATGTGATGTATCACGGAGTAAAATTTGCAGGAGCCGTATTGAGGATTCGAACCTGCGTTCTGGATACTTCCAAGCACAAGCGCTGAACCCCTGAACCACGATAGGCTAAATCAGGGTTTCCAGGCATTACCTGCGTACACTATGGTATGGTATAGGAGTCCTATTGGCTACTTCGAGGACCCTAGAGGATTCAGTTCAATCCCCAGGTTTCACTACTCTTTTTCTTTAGCATATCATGGTCCAGGGGTTTAAGGCGTGTGCTTGGGCGTACCCAGAGGGCAGGTTCGAATCCTCCTTCTCATGGCATCTATTATTATTATTATTATAACTTTCCGTATATATATTTAGCGGCTGTTCTCGGCAACTTTGCCCGCTTTCTCTACTTGGCTCTGACCTTGTATGGTAAGAACGGATTTATCGTCATCTGACTCTGTGTTTTGTATTTCTCTTGCTATGTCTGTTTGTCTGTGTGTGTGTGTGTGTGTGTGTGTGTGTGTGTGTGTGTGTGTGTGTGTGTGTGTGTGTGTGTGTGTGTGTGTGTGTGTGTGTGTGTGTGTGTGTGTGTGTGTGTGTGTGTGTGTGTGTGTGTGTGTGTGTGTACTCACCTAATTGTGCTTGCGGGGGTTGAGCTCTGGCTCTTTGGTCCCGCCTCTCAACCGTCAATCAACAATGTGTGTGTGTACTCACCTATATGTGCTTGCAGGATCGAGCATTGACTCTTGGATCCCGCCTTTCTAGCTATCGGTTGTTTACAGCAATGACTCCTGTCCCATTTCCCTATCATACCTAGTTTTAAAAGTATGAATAGTATTTGCTTCCACAACCTGTTCCCCAAGTGCATTCCATTTTTCTACTACTCTCACGCTAAAAGAAAACTTCCTAACATCTCTGTGACTCATCTGAGTTTCCAGTTTCCACCCATGTCCCCTCGTTCTGTTATTATTACGTGTGAACATTTCATCTATTTCCACTTTGTCAATTCCCCTGAGTATTTTATATGTCCCTATCATATCTCCTCTCTCCCTTCTTTTCTCTAGTGTCGTAAGGTTCAGTTCCTTCAGCCGCTCTTCATATCCCATCCCTCGTAACTCTGGGACAAGCCTCGTCGCAAACCTCTGAACCTTCTCCAGTTTCTTTATGTGTTTCTTCAGGTGGGGGCTCCATGATGGCGCGGCATACTCTAAGACGGGTCTCACGTAGGCAGTGTAAAGCGCCCTAAAAGCTTCCTCATTTAGGTTTCTGAATGAAGTTCAAATTTTCGCCAGTGTAGAGTACGCTGCTGTCGTTATCCTATTTATATGTGCCTCATGAGTTAGATTAGGTGTCACATCCACTCCCAGGTCTCTTTCTCGAATCGTTACAGTTAGGCTGTTCCCCTAACAGCCTGATAGGCTGTGTGTGTGTGTGTGTGTGTGTGTGTGTGTGTGTGTGTGTGTGTGTGTGTGTGTGTGTGTGTGTGTGTGTGTGTGTGTGTGTGTGTGTGTAAAAGCACCTATACCACCCCCTGAGAGAGAGATGGAGGGACTAGAGAATACAAGTGGCCGCTGGATACGCAAATGAGCCGAAGAAATATAAGGAACTATGTATGTAAACCCCTGTATGGGGGGGGGGGAGGGTCAACAAATGTAGTGGACTGGAAGAAGAAGAAGAAGCTGTAGAAGCCACCTCCATCCACCACCTTCAGGGCCGATTTGACAGGGAATAGTTCAGTAGTAGCGTGATTGGCAACCAGGAGGCCTGGTCGACGACCGGGCCGCGGGGACGCTAAGCCCCGGAAGCACCTCAAGGTAACCTCAAGGTAGGTGCAACAAAGCAGACAGGTGGGGAATAAAGAGCTAGAACCTGACTATCCTGTGAGATAGTGATTGGATAGATCTGCGTTATTCTTTGCATATCTAACCAAAAACAGCTTCGCAGGTGCTGGAAAGGACCCAAACCCAAGACAGCTTCACCCACAGATGCAACTTAGCAACACACAGCTCAAGCACTACACCCAAAACAGCTTCACCACAGATGGAACATAGCAACACATAGCCCAAGCACCAGTGGAGTCCCGCAGGGATCAGTCCTTGGACCTATACTGTTCCTGATATATGTAAATGATCTACCAGAGGGTATAGACTCGTTCCTCTCATTGTTTGCTGATGATGCAAAGATTATGAGGAGGATTAAGACAGAGACATATACTACGAGGCTACAAGATGGCCTAAACAAACTGAAGGAATGGTCAAACAAATGGCTACAAAAGTTCAACCCAAGTAAATGTAAGGTAATACATCTAGGCGGAGGAAATAGGAGGCCAGACATTGGATACTAAATGGGAGATGAAGTCCTTCACGATACGGACAGAGAGAAAGATCTAGGAGATGATATCACACCAAACCTGTCTCCTGAAGCACACATCAAAAGAATAACATCGGCGGCATATGCGAGGCTGGCTAACATCAGAACTGCCTTCAGGAACCTGTGTAAAGAATCATTCAGAACCTTGTATGCCACATATGTAAGGCCAATCCTGGAGTATGCGGCCCCAGCATGGAGCCCGTACCTTGTCAAGCACATGACGAAGCTGGGCAAAGTTCAGAAGTATGCCACTAGGCTAGTCCCAGAACTAAGAGGCATGAGTTACGAGGAAACACTGAGGGAACTGCATCTCACTTCGCTGGAAGACAGAAGAGCTCGGGGAGACATGATCACCATGTACAAAATTCTTAGTGGGAAATTTACAGGGTAGACAAGGATAGATTATTTAACACGGGTAGTACACGCTCAAGGGGACACAGGTGGAAGCTGAGTACCCAAAGGAGCCACAGAGGCATTAGAAGGATATTTTTCAGTGTCAGAGCAGTTAGTAAATGGAATGCACTAGGAAGTGATGTGGTGGAGGCTGACTCCATACACAGTTTCAAATATAGATATGATAGAGCTCGAGAAGTTCAGGAACCTGGGGCCAGATTCACGAAGCAGTTCCGCAAGTACTTACGAACGTATACATCTTTCCTCAAATTTTGATGGCTTTGGTTACATTTATTAAACAGTTTACAAGCATAAAAACGTCCCAATCAACTGTTGTTATTGTTATAAACAGCCTCCTGGTGCTACGGAGTTCATTAACTATTTAATAATTGTAAACAAAGCCGCCAAAGATTGAGAAAAGATGTACAGGTTCGTAAGTGCTAGCGTAACTTCTTCGTGAATCTAGCCCATGTACACCAGTAGATTGACGGTTGAGAGGCGGGAACAAAGAGCCAAAGCTCAACCCCCGTAATCACAACTAGGTGAGTACAACTAGGTGAGTAACCTAGACAGCTTCACCGCTGCCAGAAGAGACTAGTACACAGCCTAAGCACCACACCCAAAACAGCTTCACTCCACTAAATTCCCTTCAAGCAAAAGATGCAAATTACAAAGTCTACAGCAGCTAAAGACCCTCCCATTAGTGATCCATTGACTGGAGGCAGAGAAACAGTCACTAGAGTGCTTGGAGGGAACAGCGAAGACATTTTTTTCCATGCTACAGGCACATATCACGGCCGCTCCTATAACTGCTGGAGGGCACCAAGTTACAGTGTTCGTGGGTGCGGGTATAGAATCCCGGATTCGCTAGAAGAACGATACAAATCCAGGACGAATCCGCGCTCGCACAGCGCGAGGCCCACGCAAGCTGTGCTTCAAACATCAATTATCATATACGCAATCAGCACTTCAATATACACAAACCGCCATACACAAACAGCATTTCTAACACGTTCATATACACACACTCAACACCATGTAACACAAACAGTATGAAGTCTGAGAGGGGGATCCAAACACCGCGTATAGGTGGCAGCAGGAGACGTACCCAGAACGGCTTCATGTCGGTCGGCTCCTAGGGTTGAAGAGACTCGCTGGAGTGATGTGGCCGCGTACCTCGACCCTCGACCACACTATGCCCCAGCGCCAGCGCCCTCTCCCGGTGGTCAGCGCCAGGGGGGGGGACCCCCGCCACTGCCCTGACCGAGTTACCAGTTTGGAAATGTCGCAGGGGCAGGCTGGGGCAGAGGTGTGTGTGTGGTTATATGACGCCATAGTGCCAGCAGTCCTGTGGCACTATGCCAGGTGTGTGAGGAAGGGAAGGTAGTTCAGGTGATTAGAGCGCAATTGAGTATCTTAAGGCAAAGAGGGGTGGACAGAGGGCCATATTATAACCCCTATCAGTTGAAGGGGCCGGGTAGGGGGGGGTTTGGGGGGTCGTGTGCCCCCAAGCGCCCCCCCCCCCTCTCTCCCTCCTGGAGCGGGCGTCGCTACACAAAAACTCGAGCGGCCCCGACAGGAGCTCCCTCACGACCACATTGTTTTTTGTGTGTGGACCGTGTCGAGGAGTGGATGAGGCGAGGGAGGCGCTGGTGCCACAGGAAAAGTGTGCAACACCAGCTGAGGCTTGGCACCTGCAGGCAGCCAGCAACAACAGTTGACTCACGCGACCTGCGTTACAGGACAAAGCGGCGTGGTCTTGGCCGAGGTCGTATGGCCAGGGATGAGGCCTTGGCTGGCGTCTTGGCCGAGGTCGTAGCCAGGGATGAGGCCTTGGCCGAGGTCTTGGCCGACGTCTTGACCAAGGGGTGACACCTGGTGTACGCCCGGGTGTCCTTGCTATATCACCAATCACCTCGGGCTCACCATAGCCCGTGCTACTTGGAACTTTTTGTTCCAAGTAGCGAATTTTAAACAACCAATCAGCAAAAATGTAAACATTCGCGCCACTGTGAACCTAACCTGGTTATTATACACGATAATACAAGCGACCACAGTACAGGGTTCGACCCTTTATACAGTATACACCAGCAAATGAATAGAGGGAAGGGGGGAGGGGGGACAAGGGGGGAGGGGGACAAGGTGAGGGGGGTTAGGGGGGGCGTGGGGCAGGGGGGGGGAGTTATGAAGCAGTCGGGATTAAGTAATAACTGATCTAGAAAGTTGTCCCAGAACCTTGAACTTTGACCTATAACCAGCGACCATGAGCCCTTGACCTTTGACCTGTGACCTTGGTCATTGATCTGTGACCTTGGTCATTGACCTGTGACCTTGGTCATTGACCTGTGACCTTGATCGTTGACCTGTGACCTTGATCGTTGACCTGTGACCTTGGTCATTGACCTGTGACCTTGGTCATTTACCTGTGACCTTGGTCATTGACCTGTGATCTTGGTCATTGACCTGTGACCTTGGTCATTGACCTGTGACCTTGGTCATTGACCTGTGATCTTGGTCATTGACCTGTGACCTTAAACACTAACTTTTTGTCTCAATCCAAATTAATTAAAACAATTAACAAGAGTGTGTGTGTGTGTGTGTGTGTGTGTGTGTGTGTGTGTGTGTGTGTGTGTGTGTGTGTGTGTGTGTGTGTGTGTGTGTGTGTGTGTGTGTGTGTGTGTGTGTGTACTCACCTAGTTCACCTAGTTGTGTTTGCGGGGGTTGAGCTCTGGCTCTTTGGTCCCGCCTCTCAACTGTCAATCAACAGGTGTACAGGTTCCTGAGCCTACTGGGCTCTATCATATCTACACTTGAAACTGTGTATGGAGTCAGCCTCCACCACATCACTGCCTAATGCATTCCATCCATTAACTACTCTGACACTGAAAAAGTTATTTCTAACGTCCCTGTGGCTCATTTGGGTACTCAGTCTCCACCTGTGTCCCCGTGTTCGCGTACCACCCGTGTTAAAAAGTTTATCCTTATCTACCTGTCAATTCCTGAGAATTTTGTAGGTAGTGATCATGTCTCCCCTTACTCTTCTGTCTTCCAGTGTCGTAATGTGCATTTCCTGCAGCTTTTCTTCCTAGCTCGTGCCTCTTAGTTCTGGGACTAGTCTAGTGGCATACCTCTGAACTTTTTCCAACTTCGTCTTGTGCTTGATAAGGTATGGGCTCCATACTGGGGCCGCATACTCCAGGATTGGTCTTACATATGTGGTATACAAGGTTCTGAATGATTCCTTACACAGGTTCCTGAACGCTGTTCTGATGTTAGCCAGCCTCGCGTATGCCGCAGATGTAATTCTTTTTATGTGGGCTTCAGGAGACAGGTTTGGTGTGATATCAACTAGATCTTTCTCTCTGTCCGTTTCATGAAGTACATCATTTCCCATTCGGTCCTGTGTCTGGCCTCCTGTCTCCACCACCTAGTTTCATGACCTTGCATTTTTCGGGTTGAACTTTAGTAGCCATTTGTTGGACCATTCATTCACTCTGTCTAGGTCATCTTGTAGCCTCCTACTATCATCCTTTGTCTTAATCCTCCTCATGTTTTTTGCATTATCAGCAAACAATGAGAGGAACGAGTCTATACCCTCTGGGAGATCATTTACATATACCAGAAACAGTATAGGTCCAAGGACTGACCCCTGCGGGACTCCACTCGTAACGTCTCGCCAATCTGAGACCTCACCCCTCACACTGACTCGTGGTCTCCTGTTGCTTGGGTACTCCCTTATCCAATAGAGTACCTTCCCTTTCACTCCAGCCTGCATCTCCAACTTTTTTCACTAGCCTCTCGTGTGGCACTGTATCAAAGGCTTGTGTCACTGTCTACAAGCCCCTCAGCCCACTTCTGTCACCGCCCTTCCTGTCTATTTCTCGGATACAATTACCAGTCATCCTACTGGAAATTACCTAGTCAGTAATTACCATGTCACACTAAACTGGAATGCAGTTCGGCCGCTTTTCTGGTAACTGTCTGTTTAACTGTATCCTCGTGATGGCGCGAACCGACTATCTGTTAACTGGAATAGTTATTCACAGGATTATTTTATTAACTGGATTAATTATTAACAGGATTATTTATTAGTAGGATTTGTTAATTAGTGGATTGTTTATTTATAGCATGTTTTATTAACAGGATTAATGGGGTTATTTATTAACTGGTTTCTCGTAACTGTTGGATATAGATTTAGGCATTTATTGGGTACTGTGTCGACTTTGAACTGGCTCTGTGTCACTTGGTACTGACTGTGTCGACTGTGAACTGGCTCTGTGTCACTTGGTACTGACTGTGTCGACTATGAACTGGTTCTGTGTCACTTGGTACTGACTGTGTCGACTGTGAACTGGTTCTGTGTCACTTGGTACTGACTGTGTCGACTATGAACTGGCTGTGTCACTTGGTACTGACTGTGTCGACTGTGAACTGGCTGTGTCACTTGGTACTGTGTCGACTGTGAACTGAGTAAATGTGCATTGACTGTGTGTTAACTGGACATCAACTCGCTTCTGACTGACTGCTGACTCCGGTTAATTGATTTATCCTGTTAATTAACTAGTTGTACCCAATTAGCTAGCTGGTACTCTAAGAAATGCCTTCGTTAACATAACTTTCCCTCAAAAGACATTGCCAATTGAAAATTACGTGCATGGGGAGCATCCATGGTGCAGCCGATAGAGCAACTGTCTCGTATTTTAGATAACCGAGTTCGATTCTCCTATAATCCTACTGGAATGATATGTGTTGAGCATTACAATTGTGTTGTGAGGTGTTTAAATCTTGATAAAACATGTTCTTATAGAACAGGCCTATATGCCCTTGGGGGCATATAGGCCTGTCGCTACAATGGGTATACTGACATCTCCTTGAGGGATGCGAACCAGCACCAGGGGAGACTTAGCAACTTGTCCTCCAATACACATGTTCAACTGAACTATTGAACATAAAAGTTCATCTGATCCATTGAACATAAAAGTTTAACTGATCCATTGAACATAAAAGTTTAACTGATCCATTGAACATAAAAGTTTAACTGAACCATTGAACATAAAAGTTCATCTGATCCATTGAACATAAAAGTTCATCTGATCCATTGAACATAAAAGTTCATCTGATCCATTGAATATAAAAGTTCATCTGATCCATTGAACATAAAAGTTCATCTGATCCATTGAACATAAAAGTTCATCTGATCCATTGAACATAAAAGTTCATCTGATCCATTGAACATAAAAGTTTAACTGATCCATTGAACATAAAAGTTTAACTGAACCATTGAACATAAAGTTCAGGCGGGGAAAACCACTCGTTAAAAATCGTGTCTTGATGTTCACGAGAAAATTGAACAAATTGTTGAACAAAGAGAAGAAACCTTGGAAGGAGCTGATATGGTCTCGGGGGGGGGGGGGGAATGGTTATAATGATCATATATTGATCAATTGATCAATATTGATCAATGATCAATTATAATTGATGATTATAGCAATGATTGATGATTATAATGAGGTTTGATTAATAATGAAGATTGATGAATAATTGACAAAGATGATTGTGATCATGATTTAAAATATAATTTATAATGCATTAATGATTAATAATGATTAATGATTAATAATGATTAATGATGAATATGATTAATCACACTGATGATTGATGAATTTAATGATGACTGATGAGTATATATTATTATGATGGAGATATAGACATGATGGCTGTTGAAGACTGATAACTGTGATCGAACCCGCGATCCTTGATTGTAAGTAGACGACGTAGCCAACTGTGCCACACTTATCCCAGCTCCTTGTTCTCATATTCCAGCTCCTTGTCCTCATATCCCAGCTCCTTGTCCTCATATCCCAGCTCCTTGTCCTCATATTCCAGCTCCTTGTCCTCATATCCCAGCTCCTTGTCCTCATATCCCAGCATCTTGTCCTCATATCTCAGCTCCTTGGCCTAATATCCCAGCTCCTTGTCCTCATATCCCAGCTCCTTGCCCTCATATCCAACAGCTCCTTGTCCTCATATTCCAGCTCCTTGCCCTCATATTCGAGGTCCTTGTCCTCATATCCCAGCTCCTTGCCCTTGTAACACGGGTACGGGTTCCTCTCTCTTTACTTCCTTCTTTCTACTCCCTCTACCCGTATTCTTACTTTTATTTCTAAACCAAGGGACTCCAAAACTTT